CAAGAATCTAGTAATCGTACTTACGGCAATAGGTACAGCCTTAGAACTGAAAATGAAGACAATAAAGTGATAGAAAGCTCCTGCCCTTTGGGATCAACCATCAAAAGGACAAGCAGTCAAGAAATACTCTGCAGATTAACACTTGATAAGAGTTGCAATGAAGGCCTTGGAAAATATAATCAGATGCTGTGATGTGTCTTATACTACAAAAATCAGAATAGTGGATGTGATGATATTCCCTGTGAGATTTTATAAGAGTTGACTCCAACTTGGTGGCATATAATCAATCAAACGGTTGAACAAGGCTGGGCACAAAAGGTTCACTCACATGGTCTTGAACTACAAAAAATGAAGTTTATGGGGCTGTTATAAAATTGTGGAGTCCTTGGTCCTCTCTGAGCTTCGTTCTTTCTTGCAAGCATTTCATTATGCCTGCAAGTAAACAACCAAGCTCAGAGAACATCAAGGACCCCACAATTCAATCTTGAGCTACAAATATTCTCGCCTATTGTGATTAGGGGCAACGCTTAAGAAAACCTAAGAACTTTTAAGAAAATTCAATTGTCTTCCAGTGGTAAATGAGGCAGATGATCAGCAATTAAAAAAAAAAGCAAAGAAAGAAAAGGGAAATCTGTGCTTAGCTTTTTTTCAGCTCAACACAGAGGTCTATTAGAGAGAGGTTTGTCAAGCTCTTATGTCAATGAACCAGTGGTAAATCAATTTCAAATAATGGTTGAGTACCATCCAATGCCACTCACCTGGATCTGAGAAGGCAACTCAGGTGTGGCTGACAGTTGTATTTGAAGAATAAATGCTACCATCTAGTGGCATGTATGATGCCAGTGACCAAGTACAATTATAATCTCCAGCTCACATTTATTTCTGAACAGAAAATCATTTGACTAAGGAATAGATTTGTGAACTCCTTAAAATATAGTACTTTCTTGGGAATACTTTCAATAAACTCCTTGTTTCAATTATTTTATCAGCATCTTAATACTGCATCTGAAACACCTAATTATAATAGGTGATATGATAATAGCCTTCAAAGTATTTTCTGTTAAGAGTGTCAGGGAAATACTTTAAGAGCTGACCAGCTGCTACAATGATATAAGGCAGGAAATGAGTCAGCAAGGTTTTTGAGCTGATACGACTTTAAGAGGCTGTATATATAAGAGAGGCCCTGTCAGGGTGTCCCTCTCTCCATGTGTGTTTCCGTGCTGTAGTTGATGATTGATTGCCTGACTTTGCCTAGTACATATATGTATATTCTCTGTAGATAAACCACTATTTGAAAGACAAACCACTGTTTACTGTATTTTGCTCCTGGTTTGCCTCAAAATAGTCACACTGCGCTCTCCAACAAGGAGTTATCTAAAAATCCTTCTCCCCTATCCCAGATGAAGTTTAAGAAAATGGAATGGCATTCTACTTGCGTTGGGTCTTCTGTTTTTTTTATCTATTTCCTTTCCCCACTACCCCATTACTGGGAATTTTATAAAATGATATTGCAATTGATCCACGGAGCATATTGAGTGAAATCCAAAGTTTATGAATGAACTTCTGGTTATAAAATAGAACTACCCACTACCTTCCCAGAAATCTCCACCTGCAAAACAGATTTTGAGGGCCGAAGCAAAATTGTTCCTACACCAGTCTGCAGATAAAATCCATTGTTGATGGGAACAACCAGATTCAATTCATAAGTTCAAGAGCTTGTGCTATCTAATTGAAATTCTTTGGTGAAAGCTTCTTTGGTGAACCACCTGCATTTTGCCAAAGTTAATTTATTGTTCTAGGAAGAGAATAGTAAAACAGAATAATAGGGAGTGCCAACCCTGAAGTGAACCTGGCTGGGGCCATCTTTGAGGCTTCAGGGCTGCCACTAGATGGGAGGGGGAGGGAAATAGTTAGTTGGGGTGTTGTAGTCAAAATATGAAGTTTTTCTGTGGGAACCAAGGTCATTCCAACAGGTGGCCGGGAGAGGTGGAGCGAAGTAACCAAGCAACTGGCCAGCACCTTGACTGGACCATGTGACTGATGACTTGGGGAAGGAGGGAAACTTTCTCTTTCAATTAGGTGAAACTTTCAGAGTCGGTTTTCACCAGTTGTGCCAATATGATGTATCCAATAAAATTGTCCTTTGAGGAATTTACCTGCCTCAGAGTTCTGCTTTCTATGGGTGCATTACTTGGAACACTGACAGGGAGTCTGAAATGTATTTATGAGTTGGTATTAGCTAAAGCAGTAAATGAAGGGGAGGTATCTTTAAGAAAATGCCTTCTCTTTATGCCTCAATATTTGCGGCATTTATCCAGGGAATGTTTCAATTTGTAATTAGAAATTCTGGTTTAAATATCAACAATTACAGCTTCTGTAGTGTTTACAAATAATTCAAATGGCAAACTGTCAGTTGATCTAAGGGAGGAAATATTAAAAGTAGCAACATGCTGACTGACTAACATACACAAATATTTGTTTGCATGTGTGTCATTTGGATGAAAGCAATGAATCCCGCAAACACTTATGAAGTTGGGAGTCAGTTGAATCACTTGGGCCCCACTGCAAACCTCTCAGTGGGCCCTCCCTCCCAACGCTAATTAACTTACAATACAATGAGCTTTTTATGCAGTTAACCTGCATAAAAATTTATGAGCTTACGAAAGAAAACAATATGCAGCGGTATTCCAAGGTCTTTGAATACTAATTCTAATAACAAAACTTCACTTTTACTGAAATGGTGTCAATCACCAGACAAGCAAAATCAATCAGGGTCTCTATTTTTTTTTTTTTATGTTTTTGTCTCAACAGGGATTTTTGTTATGCTTTTTCATATTCATTCATATATCTAACATAATAATCAGGGATCCGGTATTTCATAGCATATTTTAATCACAGCAAGGGCGAACCTAACCACACTGCTGGTGGAATTAGTGTTAGAATCAGAAAGTAGATTATTTTATATAATAAAAGTCTTTCTTCCTGGATTAGTGTTGCAGAAAAAGTGAAATAAGAGAATTCCTTATCTCCCTAAAGACATTGAAGTACAGCAGAACCGTGCTTTCAATCTCCTTCAAACACAAGGGCAAACTTGTTTGGGTAGGAATAATTCTGAGGTTTAGGAACAACTGCCCAATGAACATTGATGATGTACAATGTTGATGATAATGCATTATGCTGTCCCCCCAAATAAGCCCTTCCTCAACTTGGGGAAGGTGAAGGCTATGAACATTTGGCAAGATACTTTTGATTTCTAGGCTGTTCTGTTAGGTGGCACCAGTGGTGAAATCCAAATTTTGTTACTACTGGTTCTGTGGGCATGGCTGGGTGGGTGTGGTGTGGCAGGGGAAGGATACTCCAAAATCTCCATTCCCACCCCACTCCAGGGGAAAGATACTGCAAAATCCCCATTTGGTCCTCACTCCTGGGGGAAGGATATTGCAAAATCTCCATTCCCACCCCACTCTGGGGCCAGCCAGAGGTGGCATTTGCCAATTCTCTGAACTCCTCAAAATTTCCGCTACCAGTTCTCCAGAACCTGCTGGATTTCACCCCTGGATGGCACCCTACGGACTTCCAAAGAGCATCTATAACAACTAAGTGAGTATATATCTGGTGTTTTCATAACTCAGAGTAGAAAGGAACAGAGTCAGGAGTCCATAAAATGCTAGTTTGTAGCTTGGGAAATGGTCATTTGTTCTTTTAAAAAAAAATACTATTATTGATTGATTAAATTTATGTCACCCATCTCACGGCAGAACAAATGTTGGCTGTACATCCTGGGGCAGCAACAATTGTTCTCCTCGTAATTTTCATTTGTATCACTACTATAGAACTGCAAAAAGACATTCAGACTTTTTGATGGCAAATACATGAGATTCTGGAGTTAAAAGAGAGAAAGGTTTCCCTTGGCGGGGAAACCATTTGGAAGGACACCCTGAAGCTATCAAGTTAGGTCCACTTCATGAAGAAGTAAGACCAAGAGTGATTGAGGGGTCTGTTATAACTGAAACTACTACTGTTGGTCCAGCCAACCTTCTGGCTCTTCACAATCAGGGATGTGTTTTCCTAAAAATCACATGGGGCAAATAGAGTGATGGACAGCAATATGAGGCCACCAGAAGGTCCCAAGATGGCTACCTCCCTTTCCTTGTCTATTTGTACACTATTTGTACACAGGAGAAATCCAAGATGGGTGGTTCTTCTTCTACCAACAATTACATTCTGCATTCTTGTATGTTTACTTCAAAGAAAGTGAGGCAAATGAAGTTATACTTAAATGTGTGTGTTTAAATTTGATGATAACTAACTTAAGGCCCATTGATCCAGTGGTGGGTTTCAAATTTTTTTACTACCAGTTCTGTGGGTGTGGTTTGGTGGGCGTGGCATGGCTTGGTGGGCGTGGCTTGGTGGGCATAGCAGGGGAAGGATACTGTAAAATCTCCATTTCCTCCTGATCAGCTGGGATTTGGGAGGCAGAGAATAGATGGGGGCGGGGCCAGTCAGAATTTTTACTACCGGTTCTCCAAACTACTCAAAATTTCCGCTACCGATTCTCCAGAACTGGTCAGAATCTGCTGAAACCCATCTCTGCATTGATCTCAGAATAGTTGGAGGGTGATGAATTTACTATGTATTTGGGTCATAGATTTGTTGGAAGGAGCTATTCCAAAAACAATCTCACCTAGCTCTATGTAAACCTAGAACCAGAACACATATTATTTCATTTTTATTTATTTTTCATGTTTTTATTCTGCTGCAATTCGGAGGCTCCCTGAAATGCTAGCTTAGGATAATTTATCATGTTGATTTAGCAACACTAACGGTTCACAGTTCTTCTTAATATTCAAGATTAAGCCAATTTAATTTTTAGAAACAATTCTCATCACCAGGAACCAGAAACATAATTAAGCCTTCAACATTATAGGTTTTCTCTATTTAATGGACATTTTCATTTAGAGGTCCGCAGCTCTGTCAATAGACTAAATTCTAAAATGATAGGCTCTTAAAGTCATTTTAATATGCCATCCATTATTTGGGTACTACACAGCAGACATGATAAGCCAAATTTATGCAGTATTAAGTGACATTAATTACTGTAATTAAGTCTAGGTACATATATTTGAAATGCTTCTGCTCCCCTTGTTTATCCCTTTGCTGGATCTCCTTCTATTCCTCTGACTCCACCATTCCTTTCTACTTTGTACAACACGGTGCATCTTGATAGTGCTGTAACTATCCATACAATGATACTTTTGACGCTAGAATCAACGAGAGAAGCATATTATTGTTCTGCACATAAATCCTAAAGGAAACCAAATGAACAGATTGGGACAAGGAAAGTTCAGCTCCAGTAAAATAATCATGTCATAGTCATGTCATGCCAAGGCAAGGTTGGGAAGATAATTAGAGATCAGTTAAATTAAAACAAGTAAAAATAGGATAGGATAGGATAGGATAGGATAGGATAGGATAGGATAGGATAGGATAGGATAGGATAGGATAGGATAGGATAGGCATAGCATAGCATAATAGGATAGGATAGGATAGGATAGGATAGGATAGGATAGGATAGGATAGTAAAAGCCGTGTTGGCACAGTGGTTAGAATGCAGTACTGCAGGCTATTTCTGCTGACTGCCAGCTGACTGCAATTTGGCAGTTTGAATTTCACTGGCTCAAGGTTGACTCAACCTTCCAGCCTTCCGAGGTTGGTAAAATGAGGACCCAGATTGTTGGGGGCAATATGCTAAGTCTGTAAACTGCTTAGAGAGGGCTGTAAAGCACTGTGAAGTGGTATATAAGTTTAAGTGCTATTGCTATTGCTATTGCTATTGCTATTGCTATTGCTATTGCTATTGTTATAGGATGGGATGGGATGGGATGGGATGGGATGGGATGGGACGGGACGGGATGGGACGGGACGGGACGGGACGGGACGGGACGGGACGGGACGGGACGGGACAGGACAGGTTTAGTGCCCAAATGTGATTGGACGCACAAGGAATTTGTTTATATGTATATAAACAGAGAACAGACCCCACTCCTTTCTAGCACTGATGAGTAACCTAGTTGGATAATGTGAAAAAAAAAAAACCAACCCAAGGATCCCAGAATTCAACCCCAAACTACAAATATTCTCTTCAACTGGTATAGGCAAAGTCTCCTTCAAGTGGAATTCATCTTCTGGAAAGTTCATGTGTATGCAATATTTTGAAACATGGAAATTATTTGTCACTGCCTTAATTTTCTAACTTCCTAGTTTAGTTCACACCCTCAGGTTTCCTGGTGTTTTCCATCCAAATACTAACCAAGTCTCATTCTGATTGGTTCTTTTCAAGATTATCCAAGAGCAGCAAAGTGGTCAACTCTTGATAGATTTTTCAGATTTTTTTCTGTGCAACCATTGACAAAATTCCAACCATGCAATCAATTAATCATGTATAACAGAATTTCACTTATGCAAGCTCATTCAGATAATTGGGAACATTCCAGATGAATAAAAGTATTACGCATCAGCTATGTTTGAGAAATTGGATCAACCAATAATTATAAAATCCGGGCACTTAATCTTAAGAGCAAGAAGCCCATGGAAAACAATTCGACACAAAATAAAATACATTTTGCCTGAAATTTGCAGGAAACCATTACTTTGCCAAAAGTGATTTCTTTTCCATCAGGTAATCAAATGACACAATGCATTTCCGAGATTTCATACTGAAGAGGCAACAGATGTTTAAAACCACATTAAAAGTCTCGCTGGACACCTAGTAATAGGTTCTGCCAATGAAACATCAGGATGAAATCTGACCATTGCAGAACAATAGTTGTTCGTGGATATGATGCCAAGACTATAAACATTACCGGATTGGGCATAAAATTTATTTGTAAGGACAGAAGTGGTAATACATGGCAGCAGTCCATCGAGCAGGAACCTCTAGATTTTTTTTCTTCTTCTAAAAAGGGCTCTTAGCACTTTTTGACAAATCCTCCATTAAGTAACTCAGGGATGTTCCAATTTGGAACCCCTGCTTCAATCAATCCTTTGTATTTTACCTGGAGATCAACGCTTCGGCTCCAGCTGTTTTCTGTATCTTTTCAGAAACTTTTGATTTCCCCCTCCTGTTTATCCCTGCCACGGTTTTCACTGGAGCTTGAAATTAACATGACTTTTTATTTGGCTCCTCATTTGTGCACCAACCTCATCAATATTGTCAAGAGAAAACAGCAAAGAGGGTTTTCGTTTACGGCTAACAAGAGAGGGATAAAAGGGTGTATAGTGTTAAGTTTGCATTTCCCAAACCATTTTAGGCTTAACATAAGAAGCAAGGTGTCCATATGTGTTCTTCACTCACACACACTCACACACACACACACATTTTAAAAATAGGTTGCATATTCAAAAGAAGTAGGCATCTTTATCCTTCCAGAGAAAATTAGGAAAGAAAAGGTATATTTGATTATACATACAATAACTGCAGTGAGGATAGTATTTGCGCAAAGATGGAAAGTAGAGAAAATCCCTTCAGAAGACAAAGTAATTAAGAAAATATTAGATTGTGCAGAAATGAATAGATTGACTTTGATAATTAATATATATATACTGTATATATAAAAGAAAGAAGTGGGCATCTTTGATCTTGGGGAGGAATATGGGAACAGTCCTCCAACACTGATGGGGTATTGCCTAGAAGACCATGTTCTGTTATCAAGTTCCCCAACAAGGGAGGGCACAGAGTAATGGATACAGGAAGACAAATTCTGGTGGAACATTCAAGAGACATTTCTAAGAATAGGTTTTGCAAATGGGACCAATTGCTAAGGAAAATGGAAAGCTCTCCTTTTATAGATACTGTATGTTCAGGGATGGGATTTTACTGGTTCGGACCAGTTCGGGCAAACGAGTTGCTCCGACGATCAGTTGGGAGTGAACCGGTTTGCTCTGACAATCAGCTGGGCCCACCCACCTGTCCCTGCGCTTTACTTACCTTTATCTTCACAGCTGATTAGCATGGCAGAGCGGATTGCCGTGCCTCAGCTGTTTTAATTCTCTAGCACTAACACAGAAGGTGATTTTTTGTTGAATTGTGCACACGCACGCAGCGTGCATCTGGCCCATGCGTGCACGTGAAGCACACAATCACCGAACCAGTTGTTAAAACAGAAGGATCTTACCACTGGATATGTTCAAGTAGAAGCTTGGAGAGTCATAAGCCAGGATTGTTAGAGTTTGAATTCTGGCACCGTGTAGGCGGTTGGATTCAATGGCTGCTTCAGACTCTATCCATTTCTCCATCCATCCATCCATTTATCCATCCATCCATCCATCCATGCATGCATCCATCCATCCTATTTATCAACTGTATATTCTTGGCAAGCCACTCTGCGGCAGCCACTAGCATAAACTGAAAACATCAATGAAATTGAACAATGTAATAAAGTTGAATTAAACATCAACATTCAATCTTGATATTGAAACCATACCATTAAAACACCAAAATCCAATAGGGAGGAAATCTTGCAAGTGCTACCAACTGAAAACCTCCTTGCCCAATGGCTTTCTCTGCAGAAGACAATCAGAGTTCCAGGTACATAATACAAATGGAAGGCTGCTCCTTCCTATGAATTCACCTTGGAGATCTATGTACAGGTAGTCCTCATCTTATGTCCACAACTGGGACCACAAATTTTTTTTTTGAATACAGCTCATCTGTCTGGAACCCACATTGCATATCGGACATTAATACAATTAAATGAGTCCAGAGATATTTCACAAGAAGAGTCCTCCACTCCTCTGCTCGCAACAAAATACCTTATGCCAGACTCAAAATTTTGGGCTTAGACAACTTAGAACTTTGCTGTCTTCGGTTTGACCTAAGCATAGTACTGTTTTGACCTTTGCAGCATCCCCATGATCATGTGATCAACATTCAGCTGTTTGGCAACTGGTTCATATTTAAGACCGTTGCAGTGTCCCAGGGTCATGCAACCTTCTGGCAAGCAAAGTTAATGGGGAAGTCAGATTCATTTAACAACAGGATTAACAACTGCAGTGATAAATTATTAATCTGCACTTAACAACTGAGACAGGAAAGATCATAAAATGGGGCAAAATTCACTTAACAACAGAAATGATGGCATAAGCAATATGGCAACCATCAGAAGAAGAATCAGTCAAGGTTGTAATCAAACTATGAGAGCAAATTTGGAGAATACCATTGTCGTCATTAGATTGAAAGATCGCAATTTACAGTCCAACAAAAAATAAAAGATGCATTATTATTATTTAGCACACGATGAGAACATGACAGAAGATAAGTAAACATATATACACACTCTACAAAATTGTAAGTAAAACTTCTATGAGATATTGCAGTGACCTCAAAACTGGATGTCCAATTCAGCTCTCCAGGTGATCACATTTGGTGTTGCTTCGTGCAGATCTTCTAGAGAACCAGAGAAGCACATCGTGGGAAATCTTGCACAATATGTGTAATAGTTTGCATATCAGCATCACAATCATAACAAGGGGAATCCTTCCATCTCCATTGATACAGGGCAGAGGCACTTCTAAGATGGCCTCTGTCAGGCCAGCTTCAGAGTTGACACCTGGTTTCCTCCATGGACCGGAGGTTGGCGGAATCCCTGGTTGTTCTGACCTAGGCTTTCCAAGAGCATGAAGCAGACTCCTTGTCCCGACAAAAACCCCTTTTTATTAAGTTACTGTGAATTCTTCTCATTCACATCCAGCAAAGTCTTTCAAGGAGGAATTTACAGTCACAGACCTTATCTGGCTTGGAGAGCTGCCAGGCCGATATCTTCAAAACTTGGCAAGGAGTCACGAACCAATTAAGCAAATTAATTGTCTCCTGCAAACTCCGCTCCCCTTTCACACCCCTTTTATTCCCTCTGGGAGGGGCCATTCATTGTCCACCTGTGGCCTTACTCCCAAGTCGACCCTTGTTCTTTAGTTGTTCCCTTCGTCTGGCAACTCTGCTCATGTGCACACTGGGAACAGGCTCCAGCTGTTCGTCTGCCTCACTGATGTCTGACTCCGAATGCAGCTGGTAACTGGCATACGGCCCTGGCCCCCTCTCTGCCTCTGATGCAGAGCCCTCATCAGAATTTTCCCCAGACTCCAGGACTGGCCCATGTTCCTCCCCAACCTCCTCACTATCCAAAACTGCTGCCAGCTCTGCTGGCCACTGGCGGACCACAACACTGGTCTAGATGGAAAAAGAGATGTCAAATATTCATGCTGGCTTTCGAAAAGACTAAGGAACATTACTGCTGATGCACGCTGAATAATTGAGAAGGCCAAAGAATATCAAAAAGAAGTCACTATGTGCTTTACTACAGAAAGGCCTTCCATGGTGTCAAACATATCACGCTGCGGAAGGTGCTCAGAAAAACGAGAATCATTGTCCTCATAAAAAACTTATACAGAGGTCAGGAAGCCACAGTCTGGACAGAAGATGATGAAATAAAGGAGTGGAACCAGACTGCAAACACTCCCCACAATACAGAATATATATTGAGGGATTGGAAGTAGTTAAGCAAGGTTTTAAAATGATCCGAGAAACATCAATAAACCTGCACCGTGCTGATGAAAATACTCCGATAGTTGAAAATGCAAATGATCTGCAAGCTCTGGCAATGAAAATCAAAGGAACACAGAAGAAAAAGGAGGAGGGAGCTGAGATGAAATATAAATAAATCCAAACTAATGGCAACAGATATAGCAACCGGTGTATCTTCAATTAACAATGAAGATACTGAAGTATGGATAGCTTCTGCCTTTTAGGATGCATTCTCTACAGCAAAGAAATCAGCAGTCAAGAAATAGATACAGATACAGATTAACAGAGTTGGAAGGAACCTAGTAGGTCATCTAGTCCAACCCCCTGCCCAAGCAGACCCTACACCATCTCTGACAAATGACAGTCCAGTCTCTTGAAAGCTTCCAGTGATGACGTCCCACAACTTCCAAAGGCAACTTCTGTTCCATTGGTTGCTCTCACTGTCTCTCACTGTCAGAAAATTTCTCTTTATTTCCAGGTTGAATCTCTCCTTGATCAGTTTCCATCCATTATTCTGTGTCTAGCCTTCAGGTGCTTTGGAAAACAGCTTGACCCCTTCCTCTCTATGGCAGCCCCTCAAATATTGGAAGACTGCTATCAAGACTCCCCTGGTCCTTCTCTTCACTAGACTAGCCATGCCCAGTTCCTGCAACTGTTCGTTGTATGTTTTAGCCTCCAGTGCCCTAATCATCCTGGTTGCTCTTCTCTGCACTCTTTCTAGAGTCTCAACATCTTTTTTATAGAGTCTCAGAGTATATGCCAGACTATCTCTGGGTAAAGTAACCACAAAAGCTTCAGAAAATATAATCAGATACCAAAATGTGTTTATACCTACTCAGATCAGTGCTGAGTAGACAATGGCTTTTCCTAATGACATTCAATGGAAGCAAGTTTTGGATGCTGAAGAAGCAGGACTGAAAGAGGATTGAGTTTTTAAAACTTTGACATTGGCGAAGACTCCTGAAAAAATAATGGGCAGCCAATAAAACAAATAGCAATAGCACTTACTGCCCACATAGTGCTCTCTGAGCAGTTTACAATGTCAACCTATTGCTCCCAACAATCTGGGTCCTCATTTTACTGACCAGAAGGATGGAAGGCTGAGTCAACCTTGAGCCTCATCAGGATCGAGCTCCAGGGTATGGGGCAGAGCTAGCCTCTAATACAGGAAGCCCTCAACTTAAGACCATAATTGAGCCCCAATTTTTTGTTGTTCAGTGAGACAGTTAAGTGAATTTTTGCCCATTTTATGACTTTTCTTGCCACAGGTGTTAAATGAATCCCCGCAGTGGTTAAGTTAGTAACACGGCTATTATGTTAATCTGACTTCCCCGCTGACTTTGCTTGTCCAAAGTTCACAAAAGGTGATCCCATGGCCCCAGGACACTGCAACCGTCATAAATACAAGTCAGTTTCCAAGCGTCTGAATTTTGATCATGTGACCACGGGGATCGTAAAAATGGCCATAAGTCACCTTTTTCAGTGCTGTTGTAACTTTGAATGCTCACTAAATGAACTGTTGTAAGTCGAGAACTATCCGTACTGCATTCTGACCACTGTGCCACCTTGTTTTCTGCCAGTTAAGGTAAGAGAAATCCCTGGCTGATGATACTATGAGTTTCAGTTTAAAATGCACTGGGAATTTTTCGCAGATGGAATGGATGATGGTGTGGAATACAGTGTTTCCTCAAAAATAAGATCCTGTCTTATATTTTTTTGAACCCCAAAATAAGCGCTTGGCCTTATTTTTGGGGAGGTCTTATTATTTTGGGCGCATGGAGCAAGATGGGCTCCTCTTGCCATCTTACCTGATTTCCAGCTCTGTGTTTAAATATTTTCAGGGAGGGCTTATTTTCAGGGGGAGGCTTTTTTGGCACATGCATTCAAAAGCTCAATTGGGCTTATTATCAGGGGATGTCTTATTTTCGGGGAAACAGGATAGTTCACTATGAATTTCAAGTTATGGAAAAAGAAGGGGATGCAAATTACCTCCATTCCCCAATTAAATGTCAGAAATGAAAGCCTTAGCTAGGAGCCAAAGTTCTTAAGGCAACTATTATCTCTGTATATCCTCAAGGACTCCTTCCACCAAAATTGGAAGGTTGACGTGGCCACTACATATCTCAGCCAATTTAATAATCTAGGACAGGGGTGTCAAACTCAAGGCCCCAGGTCTGGATCTGGTCCATGGGGTGCTTAGATCTGGCCTGCAGGGCTGCCCTGGAAACAGTGAAGGACCGGCCTGCGGTGCCTCTGCCAGTGAAAATAGAGCTTGCGAGGGCCACGGGTGTCCCTCCTGAGCTCTGTTTTCGCTGGCAGTGGGCTGCAGGAGGCCGTTGCAGGTGAAAACAGAGCTCAGGAGCCTGTTTTCGCTGGCAGAGCACTCTAGTCACCACAAGCCCCCCCCCACATGAGTGATACTGAGCTGGCCATGCCCACCCTGGCCAGACCCACCCTGGCCCCCCGAGGTCAAACACAACCCTGATGCGGCCCTCAACAAAATTGAGTTTGACACCCCTGATCTAGGAGTATGTCTTTGGAAGTATGATGCGTGAAGGATTGAGGTTTTTTTTTTTTTTAAAAAACAACAACAACGACATAAAGGCTCACATTTCTAGCATGGTACCCACTGCGCTCATGCTGGCTATGTGCAAATTGTTTTAATTAACTAGAATATGGAAATTAGCCATCCTCCTCCCCTATCATTATGCTTTCCCAGTTAACACAAGCTGCTGTCCCAGTTTGCAATC